TTGAGGTTTACCAGAGAAAATGCGCTGAATGTTTGTTTTACTAATGCATCATCGCTGATAAAGGTGTTGACAATCTCCTCATATAAACTAAGCTACAATAAGTGTATTTTACGAGGTAAGGCCCACTTAGCTATTAGTTATTTTTCAGAAGTGATCTGGCCACAAAGGAGAGCTCAATGAAGTGGCTCATCCTCACGTGGACATTTATAAGCAGCCCACCAATCTAAAAGCATGATGGTGATTCTAAATACAGAGGGAAAAAACAGAGGACCTGGAGAAAAATCAACGCGACCACAGGGAGAACATGCAAACTCACACCTCCGATGAGCACGGTTGGCTACGTGCCAGCCAGGCCCCGAGGGCAGCCAGTCCCCGAGGCCTGGCTGCCACTGCCCCTTGGACTCCTCGGTGCTGCCCCTGGACTTCTCGGCACCGCCCGTAGGACTATTTGGTGCTGCCCCTGGGACTCCCTGGTGCTGCCCCGGGGACTACTCGGTGCTGCCCCTAGTACTGTCTAGCACTGGCCCTGGGACTGCCTGGCACTGCCCCTGTAACTTTTCGGCACTGCCCCTAGGCCTGCCTGGCATTGCTCCTGGGACTCCTCGGTGCTGCCCCTGGTACTGCCAAGCACTGCACCTAGGCCTGCCTGGCACTGCTCCTGGGACTCCTCGGCACTCCCCCGGGGACTGCCTGGCAATGCCTCTTGCACTCCTTGGCTCTGCCCCTGGAACTTATCTGCGCTGCCCTTGGGACGGACTCCTTCAAACTGCCCCTGAGACTCCTCGGTGCTGCCCCTGGAACTCCTCTGCGCTACCCCTGGTACTGCCTGGCGCTGCCCCTCGGACTCCTCTGCGCTGACCCTGGGACTACCTGGTCCTGCCCCTGCGACTACTCGGTGCTGCCCCTGGGACTACTCGGTGCTGCCCCTGGAACTGCCCCTGGGGGCTCTTTGGGCACCATTTGCGCCGCCCGCATGGACGCGGCACATGCCGCGGTGTCTCTCTCTCTCCCCCACTGCGCATAGCCACTGCCCTCATCTCCCCCTTCCCATTTCGCCTTCTTCCATGATGTTCTCCCTCACCTACTTGAGATTTAGCTCTATTAAGGTGCGATACTAATATGAATGGTTGTTGTCTGAGAATAGGGCTGCAGCATGTTGAGAGCTGTATGCGTCACGGCAACGTTCGCAATTGTTGGAATGTTCGCGATTCGGACGTAAGCGTGTTTGTGATGATGACCGCTAAAATGCTAAGCCGGTTGATGCAACTCCTGTTAATGTGGCTCATGCTGCAAGGTTGAATTTGAACGACATGAGAAAAGCAATTAAGCACATATCAGCATTTGGAAGGATAAGTGTGGGAACAGTTCATTTAATAACCCATGACAATTTGAAAAGTCCCATAAGGTGTGTATTTTGGCTGCCAAAATTTAACAGAAGACAATAAATCACACCGAATTCACGAATGTCACGCTTTAACCGCCAGCCTCTGATGCTCATGCAATTATTACTTTTTTGCCTCTCATCATTTGCACCAATTCAACTCGGATTCGTCATTACGAGCCAAAGTAAGCGTCATAAGCAGTAACAAAACGCCCAGGTTTTCTAGTGACGAAACAAATTCAAGTCCCAACTTTCTGCTAGAAAGGTGATGGCAGGATTTTTATTTATTCAGACACTCAACATCCAAATGAGAGTCGTCTTCTGAGAAGATCAACAGGCGAGTTCCTAAGTGGTTCGTATTGCGACTTGTTGGAAACAAATTGAAGCCTGACATTTATTATAAATGTCGCGGGCCGCTGACGGAAAGGGTGTGTGAATTGTCTCGCTCGTGCTTGGTGGTGGTGGGTTTTTTTCTAGGTACTCCAATTTCGGGTGTTACGGTGGCGATATGTTTACTACCTCGACTGATATACAGGAGGTCGTAAATTCGATCCCAACCCTGACGCATTTTGTATGTTTTCCCTGTAGTCACGTGGAATTTTCTCTGGGTTCCCCGGTTTTCCCCTCCACATTTAGAAACGTGGGTATAGAGTATTTGGCTGCTCTACATTTCCACATGATAAGCCATAATTTATGATAGCCAGGTCGCTTCTGAAAAAGAGTTTGATAGCAGCTCAGTGGGCCTTACCTGGTAACATAAAAAGTTGAATTTTAGTTTCTCCCACAAGAAACCAAATATCCGAATGTATCAGGATCCTCCTGAAAAATGGAGTCTTGAGAATCAGCAAGGCTTTTCTGGGTAAACGATGGGCATTGTTGTTGCCTCTGTGACACTGCTCAATGCAGCCGTTGAAAGTGTTTTTGAAGGTTAAAACTCTTCTGAGACCGGCTGGACAGATTTAGGTGTAAAATAAAACAAATGACAGTTTTCATTTTGTGGTTAATACACCGGCAGTCATGACTAGGGCGGCCTGCTGGATCCGAACTGCCAACTTTTGCAGCAATCTGCGAACATGTGACCCCCTAATAAAATCGGCATTATGTAAACGGCGGCAAAATCCAAATGACGTGCACGTAGCATGCCGGACAATGCCATTGGATTTGCGGCGCAACCGTGACCTCCCTGGTATGTAAAATCACTGCAGCGTGCGCGGGTCACGTGGTTAGGTGAAGAACAGGCAGTTACGAGGACTCGTTAACCGCACCGCATCTGCGGTGTGGTTAACAAATGCCTACTCATAGAACGCGAAGGAGGATGCAGCAGTGCGGTCCACTGCATGCATAATGTCCTCTGTGTCGAAATTAAAACACACCACTGGCCCTTACAAAACAATACATTATGCATTTCTTTGTGTTGTGTTATTAATTATTTTAGGCGAATAGGCTCCTGTATACATTACCGATGTTAAACTCAACTGTCTCCTTGTTAATTGTGGAAATGTCCACACTGCCACATGCCAATGTCATTATACCCCATGCAGCATCAAACGACCACAAGTCCCATGAGATGGAACAATTGTCACAACTCACGTGCTCTTTATGGGATAATTTTACACAAGTCTCGGGCAAGTTATTCCAAAAACAAAGTGAATACGTTCGAGAAAACTCCGATTCAAGTAAAAGAAGACACTTTAATGAGAGGAATGCATAAAAGTACTCACCTCCTATCAATTACCAAGGTCAAGGAAACTGGATTATTTTTCTGAACCCATCGTATTGAAGCAGATGAAGTGTGACGAGTCAAAGTGTCCTAATTCTTAGTGTTGGTGGTCCTAAGTCAACTGTGGAAACTCCACATTCTTGTGGTGGGTGCGAGCTTATCTAAAGGTCAACCTCCAACAGACAACACAATACTCATTTAACTGACCCCAGAAGGATGATCGGTTGAGTTAAGCCCAACTGAGGCTTCAACGATGAACCTCACGTCTTTAAAGTCAATCTCTCTGATCCAGGCTTCTCATTGTCATAATTAAATTTGTGCATTTCTCACGAGGTACAGCATACCTATCCACGATACCTAAATATGTAGAACACAACTACTATGTAGAACACAATCGCAATCATTTGTAATCAAAACTTGTAAGGACATGGCCGCGTGTCACCGTCAGTGTGCAAACAAGGTGGGGAGTAGTGCTGTGCTCTCTCCCACTTCAGCACAAAAACATTCTTGCTGTGGTTTACCCACCTGATGATGATGATGATTACTTGTGTTGCAATCCAAACGTCGTGATTTATTTTATTTTATACCTACGTGACTTTACCGAAAGAACCAAAGAATATAGTGCTGTGATTGTTTGGCTAAACGTAAATGACAGTATATATATCACAGCACGTCAGTGATCGCCAATAGTCATTAGTATCATGACAATATGACTGTGCCTATGTGCGTGCATGCATGACACAGTAGGGGGCACATGTGGTGCATCGGCCAGTCATCTCAGTCAGTCAACCCATTGCACCCGTGACCTCCTGCCAGCTGGCTTCGACACTTCACGTGGCCTTAACGTGCACATAGCCTGGCACAAGCACCGTGGTGATGCCACTGCCACTTAGTGGCGAATAGTGGTTGTTATTGTTGCATACATGAGGATATTGCTTTAATGGCGCATCTCTTAGTGTTGTTCCATCAGTTCAACCAGGACAAAATGTAATCTTGGACTTTGCATAGGGAATGCCCTGTTGTTTATCAAATACAAGGTCAGATAAAATATAGATGTATTTATATAATACATTCTAATTCTCACGTAACATTGTAAGAAATCATCATAGTGGCTTGTAAGCACCACTGGAATGTTTTTGTTTGTGCATATATATCGTTACCTGGGCTAGCCAGCAGCTTAGAAAATAACGGTGCCACCATTTTAAAACGTTCAGCCGTAAAGCATTATCAGATCTAGAAAGGTAGCATTGTTTTTAGAGGGCACAGCTTGCAATGGGGAAGGTTGCGAGATTAAATCTTGGCGGATTTGCAACTGCTCTTTATTCTCCCAGGGTCAATAAATTGAGTACCGCTTTGTGGAGTCAACAGTAGATGTCATATGGAATAACTCGCCCCTGCCATATAAATGTGGAATTTGGACCATTGGCTCACAGCTGTATCAGGGGATGAGCCCTGAAACAAGCTTCTTGGAGTGGGAAACCACATGGACGTTTAAAGTGTATTTCATCGTGCAAATGTAGACCAGTTTAAGCATGATCAGGGTCCATCATTTCATTACAGCCCTGCCACCCTAATGCCACAATTTCGGCCAGAAGTTTCCATGAAATCAATCAACTTCACCTCAAACCACCGGGCCTCCATATAAAATAATTGCAATGCCTCAAGGAATTTAAAGCAAATTAGCATTATGTCCCACTGATGAGAGAGAAAAAAATAACAGTCCTTCATTAAAGTTTAAATAAACGTCAGTTTTTTTGTTGATGTTGTCGCTTGCGTAGTTTACCATCAAGTTGTAACTGCCGGTGTAAGCAATGGACACACATCTCCAATGCACCCGCTACAGCACGTTGAACTAATCTCAGCAGCATGGCAGCGGGTGTACAAATTCATGACTCTCACCTCATGGTGTACAAGAGGGTGCCATCCTCCATGATCCTGAGCAGCTTGTTCGGCGTGGTCATGTTGTGGGCCACAGACTTCTTCCCGTTATAGAAGAAGGTGTCAGGTGTCCAAATTTTGCTGGCCATCATGTTGTTGAGGGGCAGCACTCCCATGGGCCCCTGGAACTTCAGCCGCTCATCCTTCCAGTTTTGTCGGAAAAACATGTCGATGGTGTACTCCTGTTTGAAACAAAGACACAGATCCCCCCACCCCCCACCCCCATATAGCCTTTACCAGACTGTTTGGGCAAGTGCTGTTACCGAGTAGCACCTATGAAGGCCGGAACGGCACTCGAGGAGGTGGGTGAAGCAGCACCACGCCTTGGCAATGTTCACACACTGCAGTAGGTACTAATTTGAGGTTGAGTCGACATAGGTGATGCCCATGCCCAGTTCGGATAATCGTCACTGGCGTTGGCCATGAGCGGGGATCGAACTCGGGTCACCGGGTTTGTAGGTGCAGCACAGCACTAACCGCTACACCACCGATCCCCATTACTCGTGTTTGAGCACACACAGGGTAAAGAAGCAGCCCTGAAAATTATCTCCCATGACACTGCTGGCAAAGAACTTCCTCAAGAAAGCTACCACAAATTTTTTTGGAGTTTTGGGCTGCGGATGTAAGGATTTTTGCCCACACGGATGATATTATCAAAGTTGTCGTGACCCACGGGGTGGGGAAAGTCATCGGATTTGCAGATGTTGGGAGATTCACTGTGTCACAACACGTCTGTCAATGCGAGTTGGTAAAGTGAGGGCACAGGACTGGCCACTGGTGTTCGTGGTGGTCACGAATCGAACTCAGGTCGCTGGTTTAATAGTACATTCTACAAATTGTTGCGCAAGGTGACGTGATTTGTGACGATTTTTATTTTACACAACGAAGTTCATTACTTTAACTAGGCGAGAATTATTTTAACCAGGTAAGATGTTTGAGGCAGAAGCTGCTTCTGTATGAGTCAGCAGGACTTAAATACAAGTGTATGTGCAGGATGCTCAGAATTTGTTGACGAGATACGGTAATCAGAACATGGCTATAACACGTTGTAGATATACTCAGAAGAGATTGTGATGTGTGTGCAGAGTGGAAGAGGACAGATAATCGCATTACACGTGGTTTAATCTCGTTTATAATTAAATTATTGATTAACTTTGTTCATTTTAAACATTGATGCACTGCAGGTCCCCCGGGACAATGCCTGGCTCGACGAGCCTTCCTACCTGGGTGTCTGCACCTCTCTCCGGGCAAGGACACCTGGGAGAGACCAGGTAGGTCCTGGTCACTCATCATAATCATCATTACCCATGATCTATCCACTGATGAATGAAGAACAATTTGACATCATGAATTTGTGTGCTGCCTGACCCACATGATCCTGTTTCTCCATGTTAATCCTAAACATGCATCTCTCCATAGTTGCGTCTTCTCCATTCTCTGTGCACTTGTGTATGGTAATCGAAATTACGCATAAAATGTGCATATGTTCTCTCATACCCATGTTCCCCTTTCTGATGATTCTCAACGTAATTCCGGGTGTGCACCTCGGCACGCTTCTTTGCACACTTTCCATGTCATTTTGATTATGTTTTTGATCTATATGCGATAACACGTAATATGTTTTTTTTACATAAGCAAACGTGTACTTTTTCATGTGAGGGACTTTTCTTAGTGGTCTATTGTTAACATCAGTTGATTTCTTGCCTCAACCTCTTGATGTTCAACCTTGTCAGCATTCAAAACACTCGATTGTCTTTACAGTCCATAAAATCAAATGGCATGGAATTGTGCACTCTAAATATTTACATTTTGCTGATTAGCCACCATTCCTATTTGAGTTTGACCTTTCAAGATTGCTTTGTTTAATCCACGCGAGTGGCTCAAAAAACAACGAGTCTCATTTGTAAGAGTGGCCTGGCTCACAAATTGAGACAAGCCAACACATAAACAATGCAGGCAAACAGAAATCCAGACAAAACAACCAAATAGAGCAGAATAAATTTGAAAAGAGTACACAAAATTGGATGTTAAATAAAATGTAATTCTTGTATTAAAAGTTGCCTCGAACAAAGTTGAAAAACAAATTAAAATTAAGTTGTTGTACAGAAACGTAAACATTTTTGTTGAGGGTGGTTTAAGGTTGCATGTGGAGTTGTTTTTTACATAACTCCTTTAGAACTACGTGGTACATAGCTGTTCCGTAATCATCTGTGTACATTGTTTAAAATCACAACGGCTGCTTGATTATTGCAGAGATATAAGCAGCTGCAGCGGTATACAAGTCTCCAAAATAACATTGTCTTTAAAGATGAAACTTACAAAACATAACATTATTTCATCGGTGTGTGTTCATTAGTAATTGCTCTATTTCAACATCCCATACTTACCATTTCCGTATCAGAAACGGGCCCGAAACTTGTGACATAAATGTCAGTCTTGACTTCCGTTATTGAATCTGTATGAACAAAAATGAAAGACAAAATTCGCACGTGCAATGTCATTTCCATTCACTTTGTCCAGGTCAGAATCCACTGAGAAGGCAATGAACTCGATGAAATAGAGCAGATGATATTATTGTACACGTGTTAAGTAACGCATATTTTATCAGTCATATTTTCAAATAATTTCATATGGAACCTTTAATAAAGTTGTGCAATTGCAATTTACGTTTTTTGTGATTAATGCCACTCATTCATGTTCAAAAAAAGTGCATGTCCAAAACAATATGGAACTTTACAACATATTTTACTCTTATCCGTATATAATGTTTAACCAATTATACTGGGCAGATTATACAATGTGATTTTTCATCATCATCACAGCACAGATCTCAACTTGTCCCTCTTATATCAACGATATTTTGTACGTTGAAGTCAAGTAATGTAAATTATTGCACATTCTTTTCCCCTTGGGGAGTTTCGGTGGCTGCCAGTTTATTGCTAAAAATCTTCTAAAAATATACTTTATGGATGTGACAACAGCGGGCAAAGAGCATAAAACATAATGTGCCAAGGTGCCGTGTTTACACCGCACAGCATCGAGGGAAATACCCAGAAAGCACGAATGTTGAGAGCACATAATGCACAGGCCTACCAGGGTAGCAGCTTAAACACACGAAATAGAGAGGCATGTTAAATTAAGTAGCAGAGTAACAGGGCAGTTGCATAAAGGCCTTACCCATTTTTAGGATCGTCAGCCATGCTTTTTTTTATTTCACCAGGTGGTCCAATTTCATTGAGATCAAGTGGTGCATGTTTTTTTTACGTACAGATCTAGAGTAGCAAATTGGTGCATGGCTGACAGGATTCGACCAAAAGGGGTTGGATCAACTCTTGAGGCCAATTTTGAGCTGATTTGGATTCGATCCACATTTTCTCCGATGGGATAAATCAATGTAAGATGTATGTTGTATGCATTTTTTTCATGAAGGTAAAAAACAATGAAGTTACCAGGAAATTTGTTTTCACAAGGTGTACGTATTTTACAAAACACAAATCCTGGGGTGTCTAGGTAGTTCAGGGGTCAGAATATGGAACCAGTACGGTTGAAACCATGGGTTCCAAATTTGTATTTAAGCCACCCATGGTTAAACCAGGTCCTCCCATGTCGTGAGTTGATGGTCTTCGCCAACAACGATACGAAGTTAAATTTTTCTACTAATTTAGCAATATACCAGCTCTTGAGAATGTTAAAATTTCAGTTTTACTGCTCTGCACTGAACAGTGGCAGTGCATGTCGGAAACGTTGCCCCCCAGTTCGTGAATAAACAAAGGCCATTTGCAGAGATCTCAGAAGTGATCATGTGTAATCCACCTCAGACCCGTCATTTAATATGCAGAACGTTCACTGTTCCGTGAGCGCTTCAAATTGATACTAAATTTCACGATGTGACGTCGATAGCACAACTAAAATAGTAAAAAAGACGAAAACATTTAAACAATTAAACTGTGGTCGTTTGCAAAGAGCCACTGCCGTTTCCTTGCGAGGAGAGGGGCTCGAGGTGATCCCCGTTGACACAAGAGAGATGTGCGCTTAATTCCCAGCTTGGGTAGCAATGTAAGTTTTTCCTTTACAGTTAAAACAACTTCAAGCTATCATCATGTACTCCTAAAAGCAAATAAAAACTTGTTTTTAACAACAAAACGGAGACCTGAAGCTTTAAATGTAGGCTCGTAAAAGCAAATCAAGTGAGGCCCCCTAGCGTCCAATTTTCTACAGGGCCTCGCTTGGCCAGCCTGTCTCTCTCTCTCTCTTTCGACACCCCACCCACCCACTCAACCACCCAAACCCACCCACCCAAACTTACCCAATTCCACCCAAACCCTCCATCCCAATTCCACCCAAACCCACCCACCAAATTCCACCCAAACCCACTCACCCACTCACCAATCCAAAGCCACCAACCCACCCAAATCCACTCAAACCCACCTACCAAATTCCACCCAAACCCACCCAATTCCACCCAAACCCACCCACCACCCAAAGCCAACCCACCTAATTGCTAATTTGTATTTTGTCTAATTTTCTTAATTTGCCTAAATGCAACATTAACATATAATTTGTAAACATTTTGCGTATGTTTAAAATCCTGAAATCGATTGGAATGCACGTCCACTCGAAGCGCTCTTTGTGAACGTTACGAGTCTATCGACACATTTGTTTACGCATCATTGTTTTCCCTCTTAACATTCAGAAGATTGGCTTTTGCCAATTGTAATCACTGGGCGTCATCTGATCAGACAGTCATCGTGTGACCTTATCTGGATCAAGTCACAGTCCCATCAATTCACTGTCAGGTGATCCAATGCAATCTGATTTTCTCTTGAGATAAAAATGTATCAGACGTAATTCTTCACGGGAATGACGGTGTGCCATTGACATAGACGTGCCCACAAAGACAAAGCTTCCCAATTTAGCCTCACTGTCTGACGGGGCAAGGGCTGTGAGCGAGCAGCAAGGGTTGCACATGAGGAGGCCTTCTCACAGCCATACCTGGCCAACTCGAGCTGAGATGATCTAGGAGAGATTCAGGCTAAGGTCACTTACAAAAGGCAGGATTGCTGGTATTGCAACACAAGCTGAGGAGCACTGCACCATCACTATCCCACCACGTGCAAAGACGAAGGTCTGGAATCGAGGTGAAACAGACTGTTGGGGCAAGTTCTGTTAGCGAGCACCTATGCAGGCTGACACGGCCCGCATAGGTGCTTGCCATCACCACGCCCGGCCGCCTTTGTCTCCCGAGGGGCGATGTTCACACATCACACCAGGTACTCATTTGAGGCTCAGTTGACCTCGGGGTGGCCCAGGACCGGTTCAGAAAATCGTCCTTGGTGATGGCAGCGTGCTAACCGCTACACTAACGTAGCACAACACACACGTGTTCACACACACATGTACAATTTTTGTACATGTGTGTACAATTTTTGTACATGTGTACTATTTGTGTTTTTTTTTTTCAAGCGATGTAAGCATTAGTGTTCAACAGATTTGCCTCAGGCATCACAATCTCGTCTTCCTGATTATACCCACAAAATGTTCCATCCTTGGGATGACTTTCAGATTTCATTCATTTTGGATATCACATGATTTGATTTTTATGCCCAATTTCTGATTTTATTTCATATTTTAATGTTTTTTTATTTAAATGTATTGCATTTTAATATCGTCCAATGTTTTTCCACTAAATTTCACAAATTCACTAATTTAGAATGAAAACCATTGCATTTCCATATTTATCATGAATTTGCATCAGTTTAGTACGAATTTAATTTTTATATAAAAGTTTTTGAATATTTGCAAAGTATAAAAAAAACTGACGGACATTTTCCCGTGATGTCACATTGAAAACAAAACAGATTTGAATCACTTTAAATATCTTATCTAGGCCCGATTTAGAGATTTTTTAAAACAAGTATACGAAAAATTGGAGCACATCTTTCCCTGCATTCCAAACTTTAAAGTAACCCTATGCTGTAAAGAACCAAAGGTTGCATTGTATTAAATAGCCACTAACTAACTGAACATGGCAAGTATTTTTCTCTGTGGTATCTCGGAATTGAAGACTCTTAGGTTAGATACGTGTCTAATACAAACATAATAGAAAAGGAGTGATACAAATCTGTAAGATGCAAAAATCTATTAAGGTTTCATGGTAATGTTCTCGTCATCATTCTAAACTGAAAACTCATATCTTTAGAACTGATTTTTGTGTTTAGTTTGTCGACCTTCCCCGCACTTCCGATTAGCACGGTTGGCTACAGTGCGAAAGAAGTTCAACATACATACGCACGCACAAACATACATTAGTTTGCAACTTGAGAAGTGTGAGGTTACGTTGGGGGGGTCATCCCCCCCCCCACCTCCCCTTTGCTTTTTTCTCGTGTCGATGCTTGGGTGTGGCACGTGCTCTGACCTCCAAGACCTGGCCGGAGCCTGTAGTCGTATCCGTCCAGCAGACCGTCCAGCATGCGAGTGATGATTGTGATGTTATTGGCTCGCGACGCCGTCGCGGCTAATGAGCCATCTTGGCTGAATAAGCAAAGACAGCATCCAATCATTCAGCAAGTCATGACTGTAGACCCTCATTTGCATATATACAACACCGAAAACACAATCCGGCCAGGTGGCTTTATGGTGACGTGAGCTGTATGCAATCGGACGGTTGTGAGTTTAAACCCTCATTATGGTGGTGGGGGGGTGACTCATCCCACCATCCCTCTGGGGTCGATAAAACAAGTACCACTTTACGGGGAAGTCAACAGTGAGTTGAACTTTGGATAGACTCGCCCCCACTTTAGGAATACAGAATTCCCATCGCTGGCTCGGGGTTATAAACAGGTGACAAAACACGTGTCATTACAGTGCAACAATATCATTCAGTCCTTTTGTACATCTCTTGTTCGATGAAGACATGCGAATGCCCTTCTGGTCCTGAGGGTTGTTTGACCATACTTGACCACGTTAGTCAGTGCGGGGTGGGGGCCAGGACTAATTAAGATTTGACCAGCCACCGATGTTAGCTCTAGGCGGGGGACGAACGTTGGTCGCTTAGGTCATAGCGCAGTTCGCTAATCACTGCACCGCCACTCAACCCTGTGACTTGCTGTACTGTGTCCTGTGCTATACTGAGAGTGCACGTATCGGCGGTAGGCATTCGAAGATAAACCAGTGTCTCCTGCTCAAATGGGCATGGGACGTCTTGAGCCGATGCTGGGAATTCTACATGTTTATGTCTCCATAGGGGAACCACTGTAAGCATACTTTACATCAAGGAATACGTTTAAATAATTTTATTTAAATAATGTCGCATATTTAACATAATCTATAGAGGCTTCAGTGCACCAAAATCCAACGTTGTACTGTACTACTATACTCTGACCTCTATGCTCCCCTACTTTCACCAACCCACACTGACAGAAGTGGTGAAGTATGGTCAAATAACCCCCAAGATCCACACAGCATGGGGAGGTCATCATCCAGCAGCGGGTTGACAAAATCGTTGTGGATGTGTAAGTACGTAGAAGCTTCACAACAGCAATAACACACGCATCACCATATTCCAAAAAGTCCAATAAGATGTAGACATTGTGATTACAGTGTACAGGCTAATACGGTAATCACCTCATTGTGAAACACGTCATATTCACACAAACACACTAGACATTCAAATCCTCACTTACCCACATCACCTCTTGAGGCAAACGCTGTTAGTGAGCATCTCGCTAGTGGTGGGATCACCACCAATCCTGCCGGCCGCTGTGGTGGAACATTCTCCCCAGAGTACTCATTATAGGCTGAGTTAACCTATTGGCGACCCATACCAGGTTCAAATACTAAATGAAACTGGTACAGCATGATGCAAAGCCAGATGTAAACACACTGCATGTAGTTCACGGTTTGTCTACCATAGTGATACAGCTGCTAACACGTGTTGAATGTAGAAAGCGATTTCGAAAAAAAATTACTGAACAAATACCGCTTTTAAAATGAAATCAAACATAGTCATGGGCAATCTGGCATCTGTATGCATCAGCCATGGCTCCTCCCGTCAGCACCATCTCGCGCGCTTTCTGCACACAGACGGAATCTTCATTTAAAGATACGCAGAGCAAAGCCAAGAAATTACGTTTATTTATTTTTAAATAGAGGTTTACACAATCCCAGGTGATAGATGAATTAAATATAGTTGGTCAATGTACAGAAGCTGATACCATCAAATTCACTCGGACACGCACACACACTAAGTCTTGGACAGACTAGAGACCTCTTAGCATAAATATGAGGCTAACAATGTTTTCCCGATTAAAGAGTAACGACGTGCACTTGAAACACCGTCCAACTGTAATGCTCCGTGAATACAATTTTAAATGTAAAAATGCATAACCATAACATTTGAAGTGAACAAGTAACAATCCAACTGTGTCATGGTTCCTCATCGGCTTCTCTGAAAGGAGAATTTAGAACGAGTAACAACAAGAATAAGACATTCATCGGAGAGCAACGTTGACGCTGTACTACGACTATTAATGCAAATGTTCATCGACTTGACGCAACCCACTTGCAAACGGTAGGAACAAAAATTCCAAAGAGAAGCGGCTCAAAGTAAGATCGGAGCCAGAAGTAAGCGATAAATCACCAGGGCGATCTAACCGCTGGAGGTAAGAGGCCTCAGCGATAAATCGGCGGGCGTCAACGGGCGCTCTCCGCGGTTGCTGAATGCCCTCCACAACTGCGGCTGCAGTCGGAGGCGGATGGGCGCCAAATTGTGATTAACACGACGCCTTCAGCACCGCGATAAGCCCGGGACATCGCGGTAACTCTTAATACGCTTCTTTAAAAAAAATCAAAATTTTTCCTTTAACGTGCATTTCATTGGAAGTTATAAATATTGTGAATCCGCAAACTGCATTGTGCATTAAAAATACATGCTGACAAATGTGTACAATGGACCCTTGTTTTACAACATTTATATAACCAGGTGAGAACCCACTTTTATGGAATAATTCTATTTTATCTGTTGTACTTAACACAGTGGACCGTCTATATTCAAGCAGATACGATGCTGCAATACGGTCACCCGTAATGCAAATGTGACAGCAACATTTTGTGTATACATTTACATACGTTCATGCACGAACACATATATGATTATAATCATATGGTATATCGAGTATTGAAGCGTTTGTAGATGTTGAGTAACAATTGCTACGAACGGGTAACGATTCACGTGCCAATTTTAAAACTGTTCATCAGGAAACATAAAAAAAAACATTCTAAGGAACCCTGAGTGCAATCATGCAGTCTCCAACTCTCATGCACTCCTCTCTCTGGCCTCTCTATGTGTCGATGTTCTGTGCAGTAGGGCCATTGCCTGAAACGTCACCCATCACACATTGTCATTTTAAGACCACAGTGATATTGGCGAACTTGTGGAGTTTAGTTATTTGTATGCAGTATCACCAAATAATCTGCCAATAAAAGTCAGTGCAGCACCATCAAAATATGTATTGTGTTTGTATCCACTATTATATGTACATGCAATTTACATACATACCGTACATATCTAGTTACACGATGTATATAATGCGGAATAATGAAGAGATCCATATTCTGTAGTTTTGAAATTAAATACTGCACAAAATGTGTATTGATACTCACTATTGTCCTGTGCTACTCGATATACGATATCAAGATAGCTCGTCTTTATACACGTGAGAGGTACATAAATACTGATATTTTTTTAATATACATAATAAAGACGTAACATTATACAAATGCACACAAAACCAAATGAGGTCAATTATCTTCGAGTTGCAAGATTCAGAATTTAGCATCGCAAAACTTGAATACAACTACAATACTGTTCTGATGAATGATTAATTTAACAACAAAAACTCTTCCCGTGAACGGAAATACACATCGCTCGCTTTTTTGGGCGGAGAACGCAGAAATGGCATCCAGCCATTGATGATAAAAGTTTAACACCATTGTATTCAATGTCTCTCTCCCTCCTCAAGAAGTACGGTTGCGAAGGCAACTTTACTGCTCTGTGTAACGCACTTGTTTTGTGTCTGTGGCCACAACTCTGGAGGGACTCTGCCCCCCCCCCCCTCCTCACCGTTAATGTGAGGCTGAGTGTCTCCCTGCTCACGCACACGATGATGTAAGCGGTGTTCCCCTATGCTCTCAGTTCTCGTCAGGAGAAGGACATTCTAATTTCCTTCGGCAGAGACCACGTCTACTCATCCCACCAAGCCCAGAGGCGATGGTAGGCCGAGCTCGTTCCTGACCAAGATTTGAACTCTGGTAAATTCCCAGTTTTGAGTCGGAACGCTCAAACCACCAACGTGCCCCCCCCCCCCTATCAAATGTACACACGTGACTGTTGTGCGTATATTGAGTCCTTCATTTAAGCAGGAATGTTGCGATAATTATTTGGCAGCCATATCCATTTCGCCTTATTTTAGCCTCATGATATTTATACACCCATTTATAGGATAACAGTATGTGAATATACGGTATAATGATATAGGTGTATGAATGATTGATGGGTGTGTGTTGAGTTTAACGGTAGTGTCTTACGCTGACAATCCCTATTTCAAGCCAGCCTAGCAGCGTTCTGGAAAATATCGAGTGAAAAATTAAGCCCTCTTCTTGGTTCTTTCGGTAAAGTCACGTAGAAGGGAAGTAATAAAATAATAAAAATAAAACATAATAAAATAAAATAATTCTCACGACGTTTCGGCTACAACGCAAGCAGCCGTCTTCAGGTGATTTATTTGTATTATTTTATTACTTCCCTTCTACGTGACTTTACCGAAAGAACCAAGAAGATGAATCCCTGCAGTCACGAAAGCTTTAAATCGAAAATTAAGCCCTGTCTGTGTATTATAATTTACAGCTAAAAACATCCGTCAATGACTTGCAAAGCGGACTGTGGTTTCACACTGCTACCAACGTAACTCGTCAGACTGATGTTGCGTTTGTTTCGCAGCTGTGCGTGACACACGACTTGGTGCAACGGCGATCGTGAAGTAGGCAACGCAGAGGAAGTCGCGCGTGAAACGCCACCGAAGTTCTACAAAAACTCGGCGCAAACAGCGCACGCAAGACACCAGTGCAAATGAGTGCTAAATTATAAATTAATTCACATTAATATCAGAGAAACCTCAATAACATAGACTATGTGGGAAGGGGTGATACACCGGACCACTGAGATCAAATATTCATAAGTCAATCGCAGCGCGTATTTCCAGTGTAAAGTAACCTTGTAAAGCAACTCAGAAGCACAATATTCTGCTGTAATTCACTCAGGGCACCAGCTTTATCTGCGAGGTGGTTTAATTTTGGCTACGGTGGCAAGATGTTAACTACTTCGTTGGGTAAGCAGGAGGTCGTGGGTTCGATCCCAACCCTGACGATGCCTGTATATTTGGAGTGTGCACGTTATCTCTCCCCGTGGCCGCGTGGATTTATCTCCGTGCGTTTAGAGTATTTGGCTGCTATACATTTCTACATAATACGCCGCTTTCTTTAGCTTTCATTTATGGGCAGGTCGCTTCTGAAAAAGAGCGACACGGCTCATTGGGCCTTACCTGGTGAAAAACTATATTTTCTGTTTATTTGAAAACAAAGACGATCCCTGCTGCCATCTGCGTGTGCAGTTACCTGTACCCCCCCCACCACCCATCGTGCTCTGCAGAGTATTTATTTCTCCAGACACTTCGCTTTCCTGGAAAGCAGCAGCACTGAACATGGCGATGGCATTTGGCGACGATGCTTCATCGACGCAGCGGATTTCTTGTCGGTGCTGCGTTTACCGTGCGGGGCGCCGTGGCGTTGTCAAAGAGCGTGTCGGGGTTTCATAAGCGGGCAGAAGCGCATGGCTGGCGGACGAAGAGTGTTGACAAGTTAAAGATGAGAATGGCCTCGAGTGTGAATGGCAAAAGGCAGAATGAACCCGTCAACGGTGGCCCATCCTTCCTATGCGTCACGAACAGAACAGCCCTGAGTGAGCTATTTGATAGTCACGGGACGTCAGCTTTCAAACGCATGATTAGCACGGGCACATCGGAGCTTTAGGTGCGACTGTAACATAATGTTGGGGTGGGTGGCCAATACCACACACACACACTCCGCACGTTTGGTGCACACACACTGCCTGAGTGAGTGAGTGTGTCTGTGCTGGATTATTACTACAGTATCATCATCAGCAGCAGCATGCCCTAACCCTAACCTAAGAACTGCCCTCGGCGCTCACAATAATTGACGCTAACTTTCATTTCTCGTTCCCAACCCGGCAAATTGCATCGCATCCAATTAATAACTCCGCCAATCCCATGAATCATTCATACAAAAAAAAACATTGATATACAAAGTGATAGACTTTCATTCTTGCATATAAACGTCATTGTCCACGTTATGCCTGACAATGCACTGTATTAACGTTCTAATGGGGAGCGGTGGCGCAGCAGTTAGCACGCTTCGATACGAACCGAGTTCGATTCCCGCTCACTGACAACATCAATGACAATTATCTGAACCGGTCCTGGACGTCCCTTAGTTCGACTCATCCTCAAATTAGTCCCTTATGCGGTGTGTAAACATCGCCACGATGGAGACAAAGGCGGCCGGACATGATGTGCCATAGGTGCTCGCTAACAGCACTTGCCCCTACAGTCGGTTCAGGCTATACGGGGAGCTTTGTTTTCGTAACGCAATCATGCTGCATGTTACAATCCAGTAATGACTCGGCATGAAATGAAACTGAAGTAGTACAACACAGCATCATTATTATGCCGCAGTCAATATTAACACAGTTCAACCGATGCAAGTCACTTGTATACTCATTCGTATTTTACCTTTGCATGCCGCGTGACGTAAGTTGATTCCCCCCCCCAACACTCTACAGACACCAACCCTTGTTCTCGCGTCGTTTTTAGTGCGACCATTGACACCAGCACTGGAGATGATGTAGCGAGGCAAACGGCAATATCCGAAAATCGCATAGCTGGGCACGACTCGTAACGAAACACTACTCGCTCGCCCCACACGCAAAAGAATGGGCCGCTCCGCACACACAGGCGCGAGCTCTTACCTGAGCGTAGCGGCATCGCCGAAGCACAAGGCACGCGTAAACCACAACAACAAAGTCGAGATGATGATGGTTGATGGTGGTGGTGGTAATGATGCTGATGCCCCGAGGGGCTGTGTGGTCCCTTACCTCGTGATCCAGATGACGCAGACTGCGAGATACACGGAGGCGACGTTCACTCCGAGCACTTCCATCACTGTGAGCGTCGGGGATGAGGAGAGCGAGGGAAGAGACACGGGGCCACGGATAGTGCTTAGCTCTTGGCTCTCTCTCTCGCTCGCCGCAGCGCTGCGCTCTCTCTCTCTGTGAGCTTCGACTGGCGAGTGAGAGAGCGCACGACAACCAACACCAGCTACTTGCGGTGGGGGGCGCCGCGGTATTGCACAGAGCGTGGCGAGCAGCAGCAGCATGAGCAGCAGCGCAGACTCAAACGCGCAGCCACTCACTCACACAGTGACTCACACACACAGGCACTCACTCAGGCACTCACTCGCATCGTGACTCACGCAGTGACTCACTAAGCGCAGTGACTCACACAGTTATTCACACACACAAGCACTCACTAGGGCACTCACTCACATAGTAACTCACACAATGACTCACACACAGTGACTCACTCAGGTACTCATTCGCACAGTTACTCACATACATAGGTACTCAAGCAGTGACTTACACAGTGATTCACATACAAAGAGGGACTCACTAACTCTGGCGCTCACTCGCACGGTAACACTCACACACAGGAACTCACTTACACAGGCACTCACATACACTCACAAGGTAACTGCCTCATACAGTCAGTCACACACTCAGTTACTCACACACTCAGGCGCTCACTCGCACAGTGACTCACAAACAGGCACTCACAAACAGGCATTCACAGACACACACAGTCATTCACTCATACAGTCAGGCACACACTTAGTTACTCACTCATACAGCCACTCAGCCACTCACTGACACTGTGACTCACACACAATCACTCACACTGTGGAAAAGAGCCCCCGTGTAGCCTACAACAGACTGTTGGGGCAGTTGCTGTTAGCGAGCACCTATGAAGGCCGGAACGACACACGAGGGAAAGGGTGGTCAGCACCACGCCCGATCGCCCTCATAGTCTCACACTCACAGTCACTCACTCAGTCACTCATTTTGCACACTCACTCAGTAAATCACTCATTTTCAGTAACTCACAGTTACTCACATGGTCACACACCTACTCTAACTCAATTACTCACACACACATTCACACACCAACTGACTCATTTAATCATTCACAAACCCCACACACTAATACACTTACCCACATATGTACACATTCACTCACTCACACATACACACATACACACATACACACATGCCCACCCACACCGCTGCTTTACACACTCACCAACTTACTCACTCTCACTCACACAACGATCCCCCTATAGCCTTTAACAGACTGTTGGGGCAAGTGCTGTGAGCGAGCACCCACGAAGGCCGGCCCGGCATAACGATGGGGTTGGTTGCCAGCGTCACACCCGGCCGCCTTTGCCTCTCACACACACAATAACTCATTCACTTAATCACAATAGCACATGCAACAATGCCAAACAGCATAGCGGACAACGCACGCATTCAATAAATTATTCACCGTTTAATTAATTCACCGTTTCATTCATCAAACAGCCATCGTCCATTTAGCCGCGTGCCAACAATTCCAATAGCCGAGCATCTCAGCAGTGCGCACATTTGCATTGAGGTTTGGCTTGGATGACAAATATCATTACTGCGCATAGGGAACGCTCGACGGTACCTTCATTAATGCGCGCTCGCGTTGTATTGCAGGGCCGGCATTGCGTGAATTGTTTTACCTCTTGAGCCCCAATTGTGCCACCCGATTGCAACAATGCAGGTAGACACTGCCAAAGGCACACCGCTGCTATTGCGATGACATTGGAGAGAGTTCTACGGTCCCGCTGACATTATTGCTCCTAAAAAGATGTAATACGGTAATATAGATATATCGAGATTGATGGCAGTCGGTGACTGGACAAAGCAAAAGGCCATATACTGTAACCCTGATCGGAGTCAGACTGGTGTAGCTAATGATTTGAGTCAAAATCGCAAATGTATATATTTATTTCATAAAGTACCACATTGCATAGAGCGTCATTAACACGCTCAGTTGTATATTATTAAAAGAGTACATGCTTTGCATACTGAAATTTCAGAATCGTATCTTAAATAAATTCAAATGTGTATATATACACACATCTGATCAACATTTTAAGTCAAAATGTGCAATTTTAGAAACACATTCTGGAATGCAAACGATATGAGTAATAACAAATGACATGCAAGATTACTCCTAATTAGAGTGCAATACCATTGGTGTGAGTGCCATCTGTGTGCCATTGTGTAAATACACGTGTTATTCCGAGTGTAAACAATCACACAGTCGCTGCACTATTCCACGTGGTGTGTGCGCGCGCGCCTGTGTATGTGCGGTGAACAACACTGCATTCTCCGGGATTGATGTGTAACACACGAGTCGATTGTGAATGTGCCCGGCACATGCCTTCTCACATTCACTCCATGCTTACGACGTACGTGTGTAATATGCGTAACGGGTAGTACGTGCAATGGATTTGCAGAGGTGCGTTTGAAATGTGCGGTGTCGACCGATGCAATTTTTTACCTTGTTAATTTGTCCTTTCTTATCAGCATGAACTCAAAAATCTGTTTTAACGAAACAAGAGTTAAACATGTCACGAGCGCACACAATAAGAAGAACAACACACAAACCTGCTGTCTCAGAACGTGTGCGGTTCCAAACCTCTGGTGGTGCCAGACACGGCCACGCAGCACAATCACACACAGCACACTCGCACACACAGCACACACACAGCACACACACAACACACTCAGACACAGCACATACACAGCATAAACACAGCACACTGAGACACAGCACACACACAGCACACACTCACACACAGCACACACTCACACAGCACACTCAGACATACTACTCACACATAGCACACACAACACACACACACAACACACACAGACTACTCACACAGCACACACTCACACAGAGCACACACACAGCATACATACAGCATACATTTACACACAGCACACTAAGCATACACTCACACACATACTCCACACACAGCACGCACACCACATAATACACTCACAGCTCCCATAGCACACACACAACATACACACAGCACACACTCACACAGAATACTCACACACATCATACACTTGCACACAGAATACACTCACACACAGCACGCACAGCCAACATACACTCACATCACACTGAAACAGGGCACACACATTAAACACAGCACTCTCACACTCACAGCACACACTTGCAAAACGCACATACACACAGCATGAACAGCTTGCGCACGTTCACACACAGCACACCCACACGCACGGAGCACACACTCACTCACTCACAGCACACTAAAACACAACCCACTCAAACAGCTAGAGCACGCACTCACATCACAGACAGCACGCACTCTCACGCAGCACACATAGCGCACACTCACAGCACACACGCAGCATGCACGCACAGCACACACCACACACTCACATGCACAGCACATACTATCACACAACAGCCGCCATTCGCCACTAAGTATCGGTGACGTCACTAAGGCGCTTTGTGCCAGGCTAGGTGTACTTTAAGGCCACGTGCAGTATTGAAGACTCGCTGGCAGGTGGTCGCGGAACAGACACAGCACACACATACAGGCACACACACAGACAGCGCATGCAAAGACAAAGATGCCCCGTACAGCCTTAACAGACCGTTGGGGCAAGTGCTGTTCGCGACGACAACGGCAGACACATAAAAAGATCCCTCGTATAGCCTTAACAGACTGTTGGGGCAAGCGCTGTTAGTGACCACCTATGAAGGCCGGTACGGTCCACGAGGGGGTACACACACAAGACACAGGGCAGAGCAGCACACACGCACGCACAGCTCACAAGGCAGCGGTGAGCCCTTGACACTCACTCCGCTGCGAACATGAATCCTCCTTCCTCGCTCGATCCTCTCGCTCCTCGTCGCCTCCCGATGTCCACGGGCGCAGCGCGGCGCAATTAAGACGCCGCGGTCGCAAATCAATCAAAACGATCACCACGACGAGAGAAACCGGACCAGAGCGTAGCGTTTAGCGGAGATGCCGACGCAGAGAGAGACGAGAGAGAGTGGAGACCTCGGCCGGTGGAACGACGTCGCTTTGCAGCGAAAATAAACGACGACGGAACGAGAGAGAAAACAGAGAGAGAGAGGGGGGGACGCGTGCAAGGATGGAGAGATGAGAGGAGATGTGGTGAGGGGAGGTGGAGGGGTGGTTGGGGGGCGACAGCGAGTGAGACAGACGGGAGGAGTAGATGTTGGTGATGAGAGGAGAGGGGGTGGAGAAGCAGCGAGAGAGACAGACGAAGGAGTAGAGGGACGACGGAAGAGAGAGAGAGAGAGAGGCGAGACGGCGGAGAGAGAGTGGGACACGGAGAGAGGGACAGACAGAGACATATAAGGGCGAAGGGATGGATAGTGGAGGGGGTGGGAGGTGGTGGTGGTGATGATGGTGGTGGAAGGAGAGGGAGGGAGAGGGAGGGGAACTCGCGCAATGATCGAGGATTTGCACGGGGAGCCAGCCGCGCTATCGGAGCGGGCGGGCGGGCGGGCAGAGAGTGGGCACGGGGAGCTGTGGTGGCACCTAGCGCGGTGCCCGGCCACCCGTCCCTGGCGCCGCCGTGATGCGCATCCGCAATAGCGGATGGAGCCAGAGCCGAGACAGGGGGCGAGATGGCGCAGGGTGCAGCAGCAGCCGGCACCAGACACGGGCCCGAGTGTCGAAGTCTCCCCCCTCGTGTCGGTGCGCCCAAGCGCGGTCGGCCTCTGTGGAGGAATTTCTCAAGGGAAACACAAATCAGGACCCACATCTAACAGAGACGCTCGGTGCCTATAGACATTTTACAGTTCAATGTTGCTGAAATTATGGCTGATGGGATGTGTTTAAAAAAAACTGTGTTAAGTGGAGGGGACATATATGTAGAAGCAGACGAATTGTCTGATTAATTATGTTGTTACCCACATTCGTGACCACGACCATCATCGTTATATTTCGCGTGCGTGTGTGACTGGGTGCAGATATGCAATCTTGTGATCTAGCGGCTTGAAGGCGGGGTTGGTGGGTCGCGGAGAGACGGAGCCACGATGTGCACGACTAAGAGGTCCCTGTAGGGGGCAGTAGAGCAAGTAGGGTTTGTCGCCGAATCTCAGTGGAGCCGGCTCGACGCTCGCCCAGTGGTGAGTGTTCCCGGGATCATAGGGTTCTCAGCGCAGATAATCTACTCCACACGGGATCAGCCAAGCATCTCAAATCAAGAGCTCATCAAGAGTTCTGTCACTGAGATTTCCCTGGGATTGTCTCGGGTAAATTCAACGAAACGACACAGTTTTTAGTTCACCAGGTAAGGCCCATTGATCTATACATAGATATATTTCAGAAACGACCTTGCCACAAATAGTAGCTCAACGGAGTGGCTAATCACGTGGACTTTTATAGCAGCCAAATACTGGAAATTTTGTTGATTCTAAATGTGGAGGGAAAAACCGGAGACTCCGGAAAAAAATCCACGCGACCACTGGGAGAACGTGCAAACTCCAAATATACAACGGATGTCAAAGTCGGGCTCGAACCCACGACCTCATGTATACCAGGCGAGGTAGTTAACATCTCCCCACCCTATCACAGTTTATGTTTGGGCATGCCCAAAGCTAAAAGTATTCGCGTTGGTTGAATAAAAAAAACGGCTCCAGGAGCTTAGGGGTCAGGAATCGATGATCGTGTTCGATAGAAAAGCATACTTGTTTAGCGCTGACTGGCACGCACCAAAATGTACAAACCGCACAGTGCAGGCCAAAATCACTGCGTGCCACATTTTGCCTTCGTTACTCAGTTTGACAGCTAAAGGTGCAGCCCTGGAAGTGCTCACTCACTCACGCCACTGCTGGTTGAAGAGCTTCCATCAGAGGGAGTTCCAGTGAGTATTTGGTCTACTCTTCCACGCCGACCAGATGCCATTGGAGGGCTTACTCACACTTTACCCCACCACACGCACCAGACCTGCTGCCGATGGACTAAGGGCAATTAACACATTTATATTGCGGGGTGGACAGAAGTGGTGGGGATGATTTAAGAACTGAACCCATTGCTTCAACTGCCGCACCAAGAGATAGAATCGAACCGACGTCGTCTAGATTGTGATTCCATTGAGCGAGCTAATACACCCTACGGCAGCTCCTTTAATATCTCAGTTGTTTACATTGCAATGCATTTGTAATGCAAACTATGATTTCCACAACCCTAGTACTATTCCGAATGCTATTAATTGCAACTGGAAGCCGTTTAGTTACATTCCATACCAATTGCATTCTTTGACTATCAACATGATTATTGCATTCACACAGTTACACGTACTCAGCCCGCCGCCGTTTGAAGGCTTTCCGCACGTCACGTCGGTAATGGGCGGTCCTTTGGCCATACTTCACCGCTACGGACATCACTCACCACTGTTGGCCGTGACCGGAAATCGAAATCACGTTCGCGGACCGCTATGGCAGCACCTCTCCCCCTTTATCTGGTTATCATCGTCTCCGTGGTCTTGCCAATGAGCTTTCCGTTTTAAACGAGTCGCATCGCACAGCAGCAGCACTGTTCGCACGCGCGCGCGTCGCTGTTTCTTTTCACCGTGACTTGCACCCGTCCGTATTCCTCCCGACGTGCGAGCTCGCGCTAAGTGAAACTCGCTGCCGATTGCCAGTAGACAAATCGCCACTCTCTGGGGTGCTGCCACATCGGACTGGACGACAAAGCGAGTCCTGCTCACACGAGCTTTGTCGTGGTACTCATCTCCTGTTCGGAGCCCTGCGTCATTCGGTGGTAGAATGTCCACAATTCTATGGCGGAGGCGGGTCTATCCATAGGATAACCATCGTGGACTTCTCCACAAAGTGGCACTTAATTGTATCTACCATAGAGCGATGATGGGCTAGGTTAACCCACAACCGCATTTTTAAACTCACAACCCTCGGATTGTGACCCTGGTAAATAAACGGAATGGTCGACTCAGCCTATCAGTCCGCCGTGATAGATAAATTGGGTATCACCTATTGGGACATCAACAGAGATAGCTGCGCCATAGAAATGTGAAACTTATATCCGCCACGGGTTTCCGGCTTGAGTTGGCAAGCGCTGAGCTGCTGCTCATTAGACACGTTGCCGAAAGGTGCTGAGCAAACAGAATCGGTGTGCAGAGTGAGCTCCCCGTACGGGATCACATCCTCATCTGAACGGATATCCGCCTCAAACCAATGCTAACATTTCCCGTAAATCAGATCAGCCCGTCCGGATGTGGAACTAATGTCGATTGGGGTATGTTCGAAGTCGGTCAGATTCCCAAACACATTGAGATTTTTGCTGGGAAAAACATTGGGTGGACTTCATTCGTCACGTAATCGAAGGGGGACCGGCTCCTCTTAGTAATCTCACCCATCGCACGGACAAAATAAACGTTGTTCAATCCAATTTAAACATGTAAATGCCACGTGCAACGATGCACTTTCAAAACATCACCAAATTGACACAAAAAATCCACGCAATGACCCAGCTACACCCCAGAAGGTCTATCCATACCCAATCTCTTTGCTGTTCAATAGACACTCAGCAAGGTAGTAATTTGTAACATTGGTCAACTGTCAATACGTTTATTAAACAATTTAATTAACATTCTACTTATTTGCAACTATCCCGAACGATCTTGACTTCGTGGCTGCAGGGGCGAATGGCCATGTCTCGGCACTGAGCTGGCACTCATGAAACCTGTGTTTGGATCAAGTAGCCTGGCTATGCCGTTTAATTAACTACTGCATTCAAAGCCTCAATCATATTGTCTTTGCATCGAACAATGATCATAATACATGGGCCATACACGCGCAGAGATGTGTATGAGTATTGATGAGGACGTATGAAAGTTATATGCAGATCTGACGTTTGGGCCAATCGAGTGGACAACGTTACTCATGCGGGATTAAAAAAAGCAATAATGCCCACCAGGTTAAAGGGAATTAACAAAACAAATCAATTATTGAATCAAACTGTGACCTTGGATTCTGACGATTCATGGAATTGGTGGCAGTGGGGGGAGCGTGTTATCATTACATGCATCAATACATGTTTTCCTCACTCAATTCTGTAAGCTGACATTTACATACAGAATATGTTTTTTTCATATTAATAATCCTTGAAGATGTTGTTTGACGGTTACAAGGCATAGGCCCAAGGCCCCCAAAACGGCAAGTGGCGAGCTACAAACAGCACCCATTGACTTTGTAATGGCTGAGTTTAGACGATTCGTGAATTGAGCAGAGTTATTGTAAAGTGCTTGGGAAAAGAGATGATGGTTTCAAACGTGGAGCAGTTCGAGGAAAGACGCAGCAAAGTGAAGTGTTTTTTATCTGCAGTGGGTGCGTGAGTGGGTGATTGAGTAGGAGAGTGAAAGAGTGGGTGGGTGAGTGAATGAGTAAGGGGGTGAGTGGTTGAATGTGTTTTTGTGACCTTCACAATGGTGGTTGAACACAGTACGGATGAGACAAACAAACAATCACTCTGGTAGACTGAGTCCCGAACATGGGTAGAGGAATCATTAAGTGACGTTCACAGGAATAACAACCATGGCAGTAGCGATAGAAAGATGACAAGGAGGCAACTGAGTATACACATACTCAATATAAACATGCTAAATATGCACATATTCAGTACACATACTCAGTACACACATACTCGATATACGCATACTCAGTACACACATACTCAGTACACACATACTCGATATATGCATACTCAGTACACACATATTAAGTACACACATACTCAGTATACACATACTCGATATACGCATATTTAGTACACACATACTCAGTATACACATACTCGATATACGCATACTCAGTACACATACTCAGTACACACATACTCGATATACGCATACTCAGTACACACATATTCAGTACACACATACTCGATATACGCATACTCAGTATACGCATACTGAGTGGCCTCTCTTATTCCCTCCATGTCACTCTACTATCGCAACATCGCGAGAGACAGTGACAGCTTGGGGATGTATTCATCCAGCAGTGGAATGACCATGGCTAAAGGTGACGATGATGAAGTTTACGCTGCATAAAAAAGTAATTATATATACATGTTTAATATTCATTGCACAAAACAGATACATTATAGATATGTTAGGAGTATTAGTATTAGCTCTATCAGCTAATGGGATGTTCTAACAATCATTTGAATGTGTTAAAACGTATACGGATAAGTCACACATTTCGAAACGCGTACACTGCAACAGTATTTGTATGTGTTCCTTAATGCCACCATCAACACACTGAACTATTACAAACTAT